TAGTTCTGAAGGTGACAGGGTTGCCGTGTTACCATATTATTGTGTTTCTGTTACAATCAACATAATACGCGCATAAAAGACTAGACTGTTCATCGTCCATGAGAACACAAAGAAATGTCAATAAACGGAACATATTGTTCGCCAATATCAACAATCCCTTCACACAACCTATATAGGGTTCCTCTGGAAATGCCATGGTTTCCATTTCTGATATTGTCTTCACTTTTAAGATAACATTCATCTACTTTGGTGTCTGGGATCTAAGCAAGTTCGAGATTACAACACACGGATTGTCTTGAATTTTTTCGCAGAGAAGGATCACAGTATATTGACGGATTGACAATTAATTGAGAGCATTTCCCATGCAGAAATGAATCATGTGCTAACCTGAATCGTTATATTATGAATAAGTGAGTAGGCTTCATTGCCAATTTGAAAATTATTCTCGGACAAGACGTAAAAGCTTAAAATTGGCGAAGGACAATATGACACAGGTCATTGACCTGACCACTTTCGTTAAAAATACAACCAGCTTATGCTTGTACTCCAAGGGAATGCATACGAAGCACACATGTAGTAATGATTAACGTGCCCTACATGCAAACGTATTTTTGACATTTTCTTCACCACGTTTGATTGTAAAAGTGTGGGTGGAAACATGTCTGCATTCTTTTGTCTACCATACTGATATAAAGTTAAACACGGAAGTATTTGTCCGTTCTCGATCTGAAAATGTAAACGTCATACTCGTTTTCTAGATTGTGTATGACACTCACACAATAATATCCTCCGAGAAAACTATTGCACTAAATATTGTAAAATTAATTTCTTTAACAAATCACAAGAGTCGTTTTGATTAAAATGCAAAGTATGCAACGTCATATCTTTGACCACCACTGCAAGCTTTAAAACCCAACTGCAACATGTTAAAACACTGCAACAAACTGGATGCTGCAAGTACTACGAAAATGCAGGTTAGTAACCCTGACAACAGTGACATGGTATTGTTGATTCCCCTAGGGCTGGGATCGTTAATCTTGCCCTGACTGAAACACTGACTGGTAACTAGCATGTAACGAAGCCGAGAAATACCTGCAGTAATTACATACGTCCTGTACTGGATGCCGCGTGTAAGTGATGACACGCCAACAGCGCAATACAGCAACAACTCTACAACCTCACCACACTCGAGAACAGCGAAGTGCGCAAAAATACTGATCTCAAGTTGTCAAGATCGTTACCATGCATGTCTCATGTCGGTGACATCCTAACACATAAAGATTTCAGTGGAATGCATCAATATCCATGTACCCGTCTCTTGGAGAGGATCGTCCAACTCGCGAGTACAACGAAGAGCGTTAACATGTATGTCTCATGTCGATGACATCCAAACAATAGATTCAAATAGTCTTGACTTTTCGGACGGAAGCAAGGCAATAGGGCCAGATGTTAAAATGTCCACGAACTTAAACGGTCAAAATCACAGTTAAAACTGTATAATAAAAATGTCAGTATTGCCAAGTGAAAACTGCTTACCACACTCGAGAACAGCGAAGTGCGGCAAAATACTGATCTCAAGTTGTCAAGATCGTTACCATGCATGTCTCATGTCGATGACATCCTAACACATAAAGATTTCCCTGGAGTGCATCAATATCCATGTACACGTCTTATAAGTTGATCGTCCTACTCGCGAGTACAACGAAGAGCGTTACCATGCATGTCTCATGTCGATGACCTGCCAGCACTAGACATCAGCAGAGTGCATCAATGCACATGTACACGTCTCATGAAGATGATCGTCTATCTCGCAATTACAACGAAGTGCGTTATCATACATCTCACTATGTCGACGGCTTTCCAACTCTCTTCCACATAAGTCTTCAGGCTCTTCCAACAGACATATATGCAACCCATGAGTACCTCTAGATGTACCGAAACACAAACAACACGACATATTTCTGTGTCTGGACAACCATCATGGCAAGTGATCTTGGCGCTGGGACACCTAAAGGTATTTGGATTCCGATAGTCTTGGCTTTTTTCGGATGGCAAGTCAATAGGACCATATGTAAAAATGTCCAAGAACATAACGGTCAAAATCACAGTAAAAACGGTATAATAAAAATGTCAGGATGGCCAAGTGAAAACTGCTCTGTTTTGTTTTTACGTCCAACGAAACAAACATAGAATTTGAATGGAACTAACTTCAATGATGTGACATTAGGCCATGACAGAAATGTCATGAGAACCGGCCATATTCAAACACAAACTACACAATAACTCAAACTTTAAATAGTGAGTTGGGTTTCAGTAGTCCAGTTTTAATATACTGTAAACTATGTTTATAACGAACACGCCTATAACGAACTGACGGATATGACGAACTTGTCCCGGCAATTAACTGTATATATGCTATACATATGTTTATTACAAACTTGTTATAACGAACTAAAATTAGTGGCCTCTTTGAGTTCGTTATAACCGTATTTTACTGCATTATATATATATTTTTTAGGAAGCCCGAAGTGATGTTGGTCTTAAACGTTTACCCCTTTGGTGAAACAGACGAACACGGGTAAGGTGCTGCCAAAACTAGAAACCTAAGAAGTCTGGGCCACCGTGCCCCCCAAATGTCAATAAAGGTCATAAGTTTTATAGTATTATGTCCTTATAAATTTCACGGCTTTGTCATATAATATATTTCGACAAAGTCATTCTGATAGTTTTAACAATACTTTCCCTACATACCCAAAGAATTCATTGACTGTTATATACACTCGGCAAGATAAAACCAATTCTGTACCATACACAGGTACATGAAGATCATAAGGACATACACCTTACACACAGTCGTAAGACAATACTGGCTTACTTTTATTAGAAACCCGGATTCCGGAATGATAGGTGGTTCCTGTAGCGATAGCAATCTGTCCCTTCTACTGATGGTGAAGGAGATATGCCAAGCCTAGTGCCAGAGAGCCGAGCTCCTCACTGCGTCATCTATACAAGTACGCCAGACAATGCTCTTTCAGTTATCTGCCTGTAAATGTCAAAGCCTCGCAAATGTACCGGTGAGCTATGTAAGCTGTTCGGAGCTGGTAGTGATATAGAGGGATATATAAGCGTCATAGAGGGCTAACCTATGTCGTGTAACTTTAGCATACAATTAAAAGTACATTTACCTTTTTAAAAGATAGAATTGCTTATGTCTTTATTTGTTTTACGCTTTGGTTATGATGAAAAGTGGCATACGTACTTACAGTGCTGTAACTCATCCAGATAATGATTATAGGGTTTTTTTATTTAGAAGTTGGAGTACTATGTAAGGATAAGAATTTATGGATGAACAACTTCTTTATTACAATTATGAGCGACGTTTCGGTGTAGGTTCTAACACCGTTATGCTTGATAACGGTGTTAGAACCTACACCGAAACGTCGCTCTTAATTGTAACAAAAAAGTCGTTCATCCATAAATTCTTATCCTTACTTAATTATTATAATAATACATTTACATTTAATCTTAGGGAGCAGTGATTTGTTTTCTAGAAAATATAATAATTTCAATTAATACGTTTGCCTCCAGATGTACACAAAACAATAACTGCTCCATGGAAGTCCTGAAATTGATTTTAGAGAAAACAAAAGTATGTCTCGAAGCAGTGCGTGAGTGAGTGAGTGAGTGAGTGAGTCGGGTTTAACGCCGCTTTTAACAGTATTCTAGTTATATCAAGGCGTGTCAGCTTAATGTTGTGGGAAAGCCCGAAGTGATGCAGGTCTCAGACGTTTACCACTTCGGTGAAACCCACGAGCACGGGTATGGTGCTGACAAACCTAGAAGCATAATCGGGGCGAACCGGGACTCGAACCCACAATCATAGGTTTCTGGCGTGCCCAAAGGACGCAACTCTGCACAGCGAATCGCGGCGCCTTAGACGACTGGGCCACCCATGCCCCCTCGAAGCAGTGCGACCAATTGAAAGCTTCCCACGTAACTACATATACTGTTTCGCTGAAGAACGTCCACCTCACAGAACGTGGGAATATCATAGTGATTTTGTTGTGAAGTAAGTGAGTGAATGAACACTGATTAATGCCAGTCAGCAATATTCCAGTTAAATCACGTCATTATCGTGGACCAGACAAACAAGTGGTTGATAGTATGAGCAACACCCTATGAAGTCGGGTTAAAATGACATGTATTCGAAAAGACCGGGTGTTCGTGAAAAGATAAGCATGTCTTCACATCCATATCACATTAGCATTATCAATTCGGTGGTGACACCAGGTGTTTTTGAAAAGATAAGCATGTCTCCACATCCATATCACATTAGCATTATCAATTCGGTGGTGACACCGGGTGTTCGGGAAAAGATAAGCATGTCTTCACATCCAACTCACATTAGCATTATCAAATCAGTGATGACACCGGGTGTTCGGGAAAAGATAAGCATGTCTCCACATCCATATCACATTAGCATTATCAAACCGGTGGTGACACCAGATGTTTTTGAAAAGATAAGCATGTCCTCACACCCATATCATATTACCATTATCAAATTGGTGGTGACACCAGGTGTTTTTTAAAAGATAAGCATGTCTTCACATCCATATCACATTAGCATTATCAATTCGGTGGTGACACCAGGTGTTCGGGAAAAGATAAGCATGTCCTCTTATCCATATCACATTAGCATTATCAATTCGGTTGTGACACCAGGTGTTTTTGAAAAGATAAGCATGTCCTCTTATCCATATCACATTAGCATTATCAATTCGGTTGTGACACCAGGTGTTTTTGAAAAGATAAGCATGTCCTCACATCCATATCACATTAGCATTATCAATTCGGTGATGACACCAGGTGTTCGTCAACAGAACGCCATCATATAGCTGGGACATTGCTCAGTGCAACGTTGAACATCAAAACAACAACAACAACAACAACAAAGCAGACCCTCAATTCTAGGTTTAGTCATTACTAGGTGTTTAACTTACCTTGTTGAGAACTCTCCTGATTTCCTCTACAGCGCTCGTGGACTTGCGTACAGAGCTCAGCACAAACGTGGAAACTACGGCGTCGAATGTATTATCCGCAAACTGGCTTAGGTTTTCGGCATTACAACATATAAAATCCTTCACATCCACTTGTGTATTTTGAGATTTAAGATTCTCGTCAACAAATTTAAAGTATTCTGCGTTGATGTCGAGACAGACGACTCTGGTTCCGTCAGGGTAGTACCTGAAGTTCGTCCCCCCTCCAGACCCCACCTCGAGGATCAATAGGTCTCTGTTGAGATTCTCTCTCATTTGGTGAAGGCTTGCAAATAATAGAATCTTAGTGTTCCTTAAATTATCGTCCATTGTCTTCCACAACCTGTTGAGATACCAGGGACTTGTCTTGTACTTTTTATACCATACAAGAAATCCTATAATAAAAAGGATTATTATGAAAATCTTCCCTGCTACGGAAACCATCTTGCCTGGATCGTTTAATCCAAAGTCAAGGGCGGCTCGTTCTGGATATTACCTTTAGCTGCGGGTGACGGGATATGTGAACGAACAACAACACTCCAGCCAGAAAACGCCTATCGAAATCTGTAGAGAACTGTATCTCTAGTTACTCCCTTCAAACACCCTGGTTTTGGGACCTCTGCTGCCAGGTGCCTCACGATCTCGCTTGTCAAGAAGAAGCGAGACTTGCTCCGAGAAACACACACACACACGTGCACCTTGGGTTTCTCGGCCTAAGGAAAATATATATTGCTAGCTAGCCGGCGTTCTGTGGGCTTATCGAAATCGGAGAAATTTGATCGCCACCTCTGCCCCGTCCCTCCTGCTGCTCCGTGCGCGTGTGTGCGGGTCTTCTTCTTGTGCTGAGAAGGCCAGCTGATGCCTTCCACATTCGCTTCCCTCCCTTTGATATGGTGATCTCACTCAATCAGCCGATGGTGGTTACCGCAATGATGTCTTACCGATGTCATGTTTCGTATTAGGAGAGTTCTTTCCAGTCAAGAACAGAACGGTGTTCTTGTATCAGCTTATAGTGGATTATAGTGGCGCGAACCACATAATGGAGTTGTGGCACTTTATCATTTAGCCCTGCTCAAGTATTTTGGCTGCGCACCGACATCGCGTTGCAATTTCCTGAGGGTTGTCGACAACGCCCGTTGTTTGATGATGACGTGCTGTTAGACATTAAAGAGGAAGGCAAGGATTTCCGTGTATGCATGCAAGCGTACAGTACAGCGTACCAATGCTGATACAACGATGTTGTAACAAAAACATTTTGCACCTGCTCACGATTGTACAACCCACAGCCATTAAAGTACACATATTATTAAATCTATTCATAAGTTGATTCTTATGTAGGTATTATTAATGTATACCTTATTCGTTGTCCAAGACCGCCTCCGTGGTCTGGTGGTAGAGCGTCAGCCCGGAGAGCGGAAAGTCGGGGTTCGATCCCCGGCCGCGTCATACCAAAAGACGTTAAAAGATGGTACTTGTTGTTACCCTGCCTGGCGCTCGGTATTAAGGGGCTTTTACAAGGGCTGGTCGGCTCGGAGTCAGTAAACTGTGTCTGAGTGAGGTATTCATGTTAAACTGCGGCATTGTATCTCACTGGGCTAGCACTAAAAAATCAACATTAGTCCGGACTACTCTCTCTCTCTCTCTCTCTCTCTCACACACACACACACACACACACACACACACTTGCATGCACGTTGCCTCACCCTACCTCCAATATATATGAAAGGGAAATGGGAACAGCGGTTCCAGTTTTAATTGTGAGATTAACCACACGTTGGTGAAAGATCAGGTAAAACTTGTTAATGTCTCAATGGCACAACGTCCTCTTGTTTCTTCCATGTCTTGCCCTGTGGCCATATCATGTGTACCTGCACCTGTATCTGAACAACATGTTACTGAATTACACAAAGCGTCGTTATAATCTTTTTGGCAATCAAGTCTGCCAAAACGTGAGCATTATGTCGCCATCCCTTTACACGCATGTGCGGGTTGATTGGAACAATATGCACCTATACGACATACCGTTCAGGGAAGAAGCAGCCTTGAATGTCTAAATGCGTTGTATGAAGTCACCATGACCTTGGATATGTGTATGCGGGGTTATTGGAATAATATGAAATACCGTTCAGCAATAAAATATGCAACCTTGTACGATACCATCAAAGTAAAATTTGGGGGTAGGATATTTAGGCAAGATTGGGCATCCCCATGGGCACCAACTGTGCTCCCCTTTTTGTTGAACTGTTCCGTCATGCATTTGAAAAGAATTTCTGCTGAGATTGGCACGGTCTAAACAAGATAATGTGGCAAAGGAGTGTACTATAGCTTTAGGAATATCGTACAATCATCATCAAATAGCCAGTTCCTTCCACTGATTTACCCACCTGAAGACAAATATAAGAGACCAGTGAGACCGCCTCATCTGTTTCATATTTATATCTGTGCATAAGAAGCCAGTGTGACAAAATACTGTCCACAAGACTTATTTTATCGAGCAATATCCCTTGCATCTCCAGCCTTTTGTGTTTACATTTCACATTTTTTTAGGGACAGTCGAGCATGATTTTTTCAGGATTTAAAAAGAGCGTCATATGACTCTTGCTCACAAGTTGATTGATCAACATTCAAGGACTCAGTAAAAAACATGAGTCAGTTGACGCAACGGTAACAAAAATGATGTCCGATGCAATTCCCTATTTGGACTCCTACGATATGTTTCCGTGTATTTTAGGTGAATAATTGACTTGCATTGCCATGTGTTTGTGACGGGGGCGCCGGTTGGGCAGGGTAATCTCACCTTTTCTAGAACATCTAGTATCATCACTATTTGATAGTAATTCATAAACATACTCTAACGCTATGTCGGAATCGTACACTCGACGCTGCTTTTGGTAAAGATTTCTTTTACAGATGGGAAGGGAATTGCCCCCTTATTGCACTGTGTCGCCATGCCCGTATACATGTATATGTATACGCATTCATTGGAACAACATGCTACTATATGGTTTTCCGGGCTGTAATAACAGTATGGAAGTCAAGTCGTATTACTAACCACTATGTGTCTGGAACACTGAGTTTCGGCGTTAAATATCAAGTCACTGTGACCTCTAAGACGTGCACCACTTCAGCATTCCTCCCTCATTGACACGCCGTGTTCAAAGCGGCCTTAAACCAATCTCACACACTCACCGAGCTATTGTGCTCCGTTCAACATGCATGACAATGTGCAACACCATATACTGATGCAGCATCCTTCACATGCACTTCATCATGAGATACCCTAGTGTGCTGTGCTAAGCACTGTCGTGTACATCTGCATCATGCAGGGTTAATGGTCCCATACCTCAGTCATGGTGTATATACGTACGTTTGCGGCACGTGTCCAAAGCATGGAAAATAATGTCTCTACCTTTAGCGCTAGCGTTGTTTGTTGATAAGAGGATGCCTACATGTAACATATGTTAGAAATTACTGTTTTTATTATCTACATAGGAAAAATAAATATCCCTCTCCGGTTTCAGCTAGTAGATACATGAATCGACCAAGTAACAATCTCTGAAGAGCTGGCATTTGTAACAGACAGAATGACTTATTCAAACAGGTAACATTGTTCAGCATAAGGTTTGCTTGTTTAACATTCTTAGAAAATAAATGATTCGAAACACATTTTTTCCATGATTTTAAAATTCCTAGCGGAGATAGATAGCTCCTGGCTGATGACTTTCTCCAAATACATTAGAAAACACTATGGTCAAGATCGAGAAATGCACTGGACATCTTGATGGTCACTGATGCGTCAAATTTAGAAATGTCCTCCACATGTCCACCATCAAACTTTTTGAAAGCTTTATAAGGCCTTGAATGGTATAACTTTGATCAAAGCATTTATTTTGCAAGAGTCGAAAGAGGATGCTCGATTGTACCTTACATTTTGTAAAACACCAAAGGCTGGAGCTGTTCGATCAAATATTACCTGCATAAAGGGAAAGTTGGTGTCATTCCTGTTGTCATACGGCCTTGTGGATATTTTTGTCACTCTGATTTTTTATGCACAGATCTGAATATGAAACACATATGAGGCGGTTTTCCTGGTCTCGTTCAGATGAGAAAATCAGTGGGGGCTGATTGAACGATATCAGATCATCGGTATACCTAAAGTTGGCCAGTTTGCCTTGTTTTCACTCTGCCAACCTAGCATGTCTAACGAGATATGGTTATGTAATCTCCAGGGCCCTGTTCCACAAAGCGATCTTAGCGCTACGACTATCGTAAACCAGTGTTAAAGTATGAGAGTTACGATCACTTTAACGCTAAGGTGGCTTTGTGAAACGGGGTCCAGGGTGTTAAATATGCAATTTGAAAACAACGCGATCCCTCATTATTATTTTTATTGTTGTCTTTATGATTAGTATTATCACATGTACTGTACAGTTGTCAGTAAGATGTACAAGAATCGTAAAAGAAATAATATTATGTATCCGACATGATATCACATGTTTACACCAACCCTGAGAAAAAGCTTGATGTAAGCGAACATGAAAATTTGTGAGGAACTTCTAAGTATTATTGACCGCCTCCATGGTCTAGTGGTAGAGCGTCCGCCCGGAGAGCGGAAGGTCCGGGGTTCGATCCCCGGCCGCGTCATACCAAAAGACGTTAAAAGATGGTACTTGTTGTTACCCTGTCTGGCGCTCGACATTAAGGCGCCAAAACAAGGACTGGTCTGCTCAGAGTCAGTATACTGTGTCTAAGTGGGGTATTCATGTTTAACTGCTTTATCTCAGTAAGCTAGCACTACAAATCGGCATGAGTCCGGACTAGTACAAGCAGCCACACACACACACTTGTATGCACGTCGCTTTATAAGCGCAATAATCTTGGACGCGACGTTAAACCCAATTTCACCCCACTTCACCTAAGTATTATTTCATTCATTTTCTAAGTGAACAAAAGATACACGATAACAATCAAATGATGCCATGAAACATCATATTGCACATGGAAGTAACAAACCAAAGGAGTTACAAAACTTTTAAATCTTTAAGAAGAGTTGACTAGCATAGTTAATTCACCGCAAAATAATAAATAACAACGCCATTGAAATTGCGCTATATTTTCACACCAAACAGGGGCATATATACGTGCATACAAACCTGTAACCTGTTATTTATTATATGTTATGTTGTTCGATCGGATAGCGTCTTGTAATGGACTTGTGTAAAAATGAGAATGATGTTTTTATTTGAGTGGATTTCCTGCAAAGCCCTCAGTTCCGTAAACGTTAAGGTGTGAGTGAGTGAGTTGGGTTTAACGCCGCTTTTAACAGTATTCCAGTTATATCGCGGCTTGTCAGCTTAATGTGGGAGGAAAGCCCGAAGTGATGCAGGTCTCAGACGTTTACCACTTCGGTGAAACCCACGAGCACGGGTATGGTGCTGACAAACCTAGAAACATAATCGGGGCGAACCGGGATTCGAACCTACAATCAAAGGTTTCTGGCGTGCCCAAAGGACGCAACTCTGCACAGCGAATCGCGGCGCCTTAGACGACTGGGCCACCCGAGCTCCCTGCAGGTGTGAGATGATGCTTACATTGTTCAGTTATCCATATATGTTCTTACCTTGGTTTGACAGGGACTTTATGTCTGTCATCAATCACAATTCGAAGAACAGAGGTCGATCCTCGAAAAGTAAAATAGTAAATGAATAATCTATGAAGCAGTTAAGTAATCATGGATGTTCTCCGATACACGTCGGGTCATAACTTTATCCGACAAACACACGCCGGAGAGTCGCGTAGAGTGAGTGAGTGAGTATGGTTTTACGCCGCTTTTAGCAATATTCCAGCAATATCACGGCGGGGGACACCAGAAATGGGCTTTACACATTGTACCCATGTCGGGAATCGAACCCGGGTCTTCGGCGTGACGAGCGAACGCTTTAACCACTAGGCTACCCGAACGCCCCGAGTCGCGTAGAAGGGGAACGGCACTAAATATCCTGCTTTTGTCACGTGGTAGGATACGTAATCATGTTCTGATAGCATGCCT